CGATATTTAAAAATGATTATTTAAATGTTTTCACAGAGAAATTTCAGTCTTTTCATGACTCGCATACTACTTTTAGGAACCAGGGCTCATGCGGCAGCTGCTACGCTTTCTCGTCCGTCGGCATGATGGAGGCCCGCCTGCGCCTGCGAACCAACAACACAGTCCAGACCATGCTGTCCCCCCAGGACGTGGTGAGCTGCTCCGGCCTGTCGCAGGGCTGCGACGGCGGCTTCCCCTACCTCATCGCCGGCCGCTACGCCCAGGACTACGGCCTGGTGGACGAGCAGTGCGCGCCCTACACCGGCAAGGACAGCAGCTGCCCCCGCGAGAGCTGCGACCGCGTGTACTCGTCCGGCTACCGCTACGTGGGAGGTGAGAGGAATGAACCTCGTGAACTTGCGATGAATTTCCAAGAAGAGAAACATCGATGAACTTCGACGCCCGTCTCACACTTTTCTGCGCGCAGGCTACTACGGTGGCTGCAACGAGGCCGAGATGAAGCTGGCCCTCGTGCAGAACGGCCCCGTGTCCGTGAGCTTCGAGGTGCACCCCGACTTTATGCACTACAAGAGCGGCGTGTACCATCGCGTCGCCCTCGAGAGCGAGCTGGATCCACCTCCGTACTTCGAGGTGAGTATGAACTGTCCGTCTGGGTCCATCGGCAGGAAGGCTCGGCGCCGCCCGGATAGGCAACGGCGACCTTGCGCGCGCGCGCCAGTCGGCTGGGTTGCCTGCCCACCGGGCGGCGCCTGGCGCCCCGCAAAGGACGTCCCACGCAGAGCGGGCGGGCATCCGATGCTCACTTGACATCCGAAAGTGAGAGGGAGCTATCAATCGAATTGAGCGTCCCAATTTCACTACTGCTTCCGGACTCCTTGTGGGCATCCGATGTCCGTCCGCTGCCGGCTGCCGGGCTCTAGAGTCCCGCGCTTTTCGGCATGCTTGTAACGCCTCTGTCATGCTGCCAGGAGGTGAACCACGCCGTGCTCCTGGTGGGCTACGGCGTCGACCCGTCCGGCGAGAAGTACTGGATCGTGAAGAACAGCTGGGGCCAGGACTGGGGCGAGAACGGCTTCTTCCGCATTCGTAGAGGAGTCGACGAGGTTGGAATCGAGAGCATCGCCGTCGAGGCCGACGTAATCCCCTTCTAGGAGACCTGCCACTAACTTATGACCACCGTTCGAGACGAATCTTCATCGTTATACTTTCTGATCCAGTGTAAAAACAACATAATGGATTAAATAAATGTTTCGTACTTTTAGTGAGGACTATGCACCTAGCGTAGCCACTGGTTCAGTTGGAATCGGTGGCTCGAAGTGTGTTCTTTAGAGCTAAGTTAGCCCCTCCATTCGGCCTACACTATTTCGAGTACGGTGCACCGCTACATTTGCAGGTATTATGGCGACGGCTGTCAAAAGGCTTTTAAGGTTTAGGTTTGTCGGGGGCGCGCACACAGCTGGGCGGCCACACGACTGCAGTGGAGGGGGTCGGTGGCCGAAAGGGGCCAAATGTGACCCGAAAGTGAAGTGACCGGCGGCGAACGGGAGGGGGCCCTCGGTGGACTCGGAGGGGACTGACCGCAGTCGGGTGACTGGAGAACCGGACTGGAGGAGGAAACGGGGAGGGTAGGGTGTCCGCCCTCCCCCTCCCCAGAGAGAGGAAAACAACAGAAAAAGAAATGGTATGCCAAACGGAGTTGGAATGAAAGCCTATTTCAAGAAGTGACGCTGTGCAAAATGTTGAGGCCTGTCCGACTAGTTGTTAAGATTTTAATTGAACACTACGGGTTTGAATTGTTGACTTACAGACAGGAGAAAATCTAGGAAAAATTGCCTATTCGCGGGCAGCCAAATTGCAAGCCACCACCATGCGGCAACAACCAACAGTCCTCCACACTTTCACTATTTCTATCAGACGACGAAATATCCGTACACACGATACACTGAAAAAAAAAGAGCACAGCACAGGCCTAGGAAATTACCTTGTTCCAAGGATATTTACTCGATTCAAGAACCTCCCTTTTTGGATGCACGACCCCCTCTAGCGTTGCACAAAAATTAGTTCCATTTCGCCGACGTTAGGGCGCCAGTCCGAAGTTGGGAACCCTGACTGTATGGTGATTGAGACGGCGCATCGCTTACCTTGGGCGGGAGGGAATGTGGAGAGGGGGAGGAGGGGGTTTGCACAGAAACACAATGAGCAATTATGGCTCGTGTCAATCACTATCGTTTTCTTTCCATTTTTCATTCAGCCCATAGTGCCCGTAGCACGCTGCTTTTCCGGGTCCACTACTCGCACTCGAAATCTTTCGCTTGCCTTTTTCTTGGCGAGTATCGCCGCACCGTGCCGATAGTTTCTTCTTTCCGTTCCCTCCCGCTGACAGGCGGGACTTTGGGTCGGTCCGCGCGCGACAGTTCGCGTGCAGCGTGGTCTATTCTCTCGGACTGGGACGTGTACCGGGTGGAGGAGGTGGGGGAGGGTAAGAGTGGCGCTGGACGCGCAGGGAGCAGGGGCAGAGATGGGGAAATGGAGGTGAGGAGGGGGGTGGCGCCTGTAGGCAAAGACCAATGCCAAGGACACCCACTCAAAAACGCGGTCCTCGTCGTGGCGGTAGCGGGGCTGGTTGTGTTCCACGTGAAAAATAAACTGTGAAATGTGAACGGAAAGTCTGCGTTGGTGGGAGGGAGGCGGAAGGGGTGAGGCATGCTCAGGGCGTGATCATCGAACCGCCTTGGGGGGGAACCCTACCCACGCGGCTTGACCGGAGGGGAGCTTCAGGCTCACCATCATTGTGTGTGTGGCGGTCTGGGGCTGGAGGGAGTGCGACACACGAGGCAGGCTCGATCCCGCCGTTGTTCCCGCTCCCGCTCCCGCTCCCGGGGTGCGTGCCGAGCCGCGACACTCCTCGTGGAGGTGCGCGACCAGCGCCACAGTGCAGCACGTGCGGCGGCCGGAGCACAGCGTGGAGCTCAGCGTGGAGCACAGCACAGCGGAGCGGGCCGCCAGAGGAGCCATGGATACCCAAAGGTCAGCCAATGTAGCGCGGAGTAGGGTTTCAAAGATTTGTAATTTTCGGGGAAAATTCGTTTATCTGCAAGGAAAAATCGGAGCTAGAAAAAAATTCTAAAAAGAAGCCACTGGAACGTTAAGCAGCAAAATCGAAACTTGAACGGCAATGTTAAAAACGACGGCAATCCTTATCAAAACTTATGAAATTTTATCAATCCTATCAAAAGAAGAAGTTTGTTCCTTCGGATAAAGACAGCCAGTGGGGACTGTCCTCGGGACTATCTCACACCTTCCTACCAACAAAGATTTTTTGAGCATTTTTTCTGAAGACTCTTTTTCTGGAAATTATGAATTTGGCGTTCGGAGTCGACCGTTGTGATTGTATGCGCCCCAGTGTGAAGAGTTGGAATGACCTCATCAGGATTGCCGCGGAGGCACAATGTTTAATTACTTTGTCAAGGAGGCTCTAGAATGATGAATGCCGTTTACCTTTTTTTCGTGGGACCTCCGCGGACTTATGTGTCGTTAGAATGTCCTGTGCCTTGCCGAGCATGACCAGGGCGGCGCGGGCTCCGTGTGCGACCACACGGCGGCGTGTGGCATAGCAATCAACGTGTTAATAAAAGCGCTCCGCGCTGGAATTGCGTGTCTTTAAGTAACTCCTCTGCTGTCGCGCACAGCGGCGGTCCTCACGCGCCTGCGGAGTCAGGGGCAGCTGTCGCAGGTGTCCGCGCGGCGGCCGTCGTCGTCAAGGATGCCCGCAAGTCTTACACCCGCGGCGGCACCCCCGTCCTCAACGGGCTCAACATGACCGTGGCCGAGGGCAGCATGTAAGTTGGCGAAAATTAAAAAGTGGGAATCTCGACACGATACAGGGTGGCCTACAAACCTCAGAAAATTTCGTGCTTATACTGCACCGCATGCAACCGTGTGGGCAGCAGGATTGTAAACGTTAATACAAAAAAAATTAAGGCGTGAACAATAAAGTTAACCGGGGTGGAACGTTAGCGCGATAACGTTATTGGTTTTTGGAAAAGTAAGGAGGGAACGTTAATAGACGGCACTAACGCCGTTATCGTTAATCGTTTTATTTTTATTTTTTAAATGCTAGTGAGAGTACACTAGATGTTGTGAAAAGTGCTCGTGAGAACAAATGCAAAGGTAAATTTGATTTTTTTTAACGATCTATGCCTGAAAGGATTTAAGGTTTCGCTCTGAGAAAAATATTCCTTTCCGCACGGTGAAAAAAGTTTCTTGTATTACAAGACCCGGTCTTGGATCTTATGGAGAACGCCAATGGCATCCAAGACTAGGTCTTGTAATACAAGAAACTATTTTTACCATGCGAGCAGTAAACGTGACGTGCAACGAAAAAGCTTCGATCTGGACAGTAAACCATGCTCAGACAGATTTCTTTTTCTCAGAGTTATTAAATAATAGTGGTCAGAGACAAAGTATACATAGACAGGAGACTTATAGCAGTCAGCTTATATACAGTGGCATTGTAGCAAACGAAAGCAATGCTTTTGTAATTACAATGAAATTTCGCTTGGAATAGTTATGCATTTCGCCTTCAATTATTCCTGGTGATCTGCATACGTCCGAGTCCGAGAGTGGCGGAAATGTATACCGTAAGCGAAGTGAGCAGGCACGATTTGCTTTTAGGCTGATGCCTGTCCTGTCCTCTCATCATCAACGATGTTTTTTTCATCGAATATCTTTGTCGTTTGACGTAGGTAGCTAAATCGGTTATCATCGTTAACGCCGTTACTGCATTAAGGACGTTACGAACTAAACGCGCTAACGTTAACGCTCGGCTAACGCCAAGCTAAAAATATAACGCGATAACGTTAACATTAGATGAAAGATAACCTTAACCCAGCTGTTAAACCGTTAATTAAAGGTAACAACCTTGCGGGCTAACGTCTCTCACCTCTTGGCGCCTAATGGCCCCTTGCGAGTAGGCAACGCGACTACACGCCTGCATGCAATACAGTATAACTACAAATTTTTCGGGGTCTGGTGGGCCACCGTAGCCTGGCCTGGATTCGAATTCGCGAACATGCTCCGCTCTGTGCAGCTACGGTCTTCTGGGCGCCAGCGGCTGCGGAAAGACGACCTTGTTGACGTGCATCGTTGGCCGACGTCCGCTGGACAACGGTGCCATCCGGGTGCTCGGGTTCGGGCCCGGGGCACCGGGCTCCGGGCTGCCCGGGCCCACGGTGGGCTACATGCCGCAGGTTCGTAAGTACCCAGGACTTGGGCGTTGTAGGCGAGGTCGTCGGCAACAAACTCCCGCGCTGCGTTGTAGTAAATGCATCCTAACCGCCGCTATCGCAGGAGCTGGCCCTGCACGGCATGTTCACGGTGGCTGAGACTTTCCGCTACTTCGGCTGGATCTCGGGCATGACCACGGCCGAGATTCGTCTGCGCAGCGAGCGCCTGCTCAAACTACTGGACATCCCCTTCCCCGACAAGCTCGTCGGTGAGTTGAGGTGAGTCATGAATTGGTTTAACGGTATTCTTACGAGAGCTATATAACGCGCAAGTCGTCCTTGGCCGTCCTTGACACAGAGCTCTGCGTGTCGGGTTTGGAGGACGACTTCTGGAGGCCGGGGAGCCTTGGCTCAACTTTTTTGAGAGTGTTCGAATCAGAGTGCACTGGTGCGAAGCCTCTCGATCGCTCAGTATCCTATCCTGCACAAACTTCTTCACAACGCCTTGAACCTCCTCTTATCGACTTGTTGCAGCGGCGGGCAGCAGCGCCGCGTGTCGCTGGGGGTGGCCCTGCTCAACAAGCCGCCCGTCCTCATCCTGGACGAGCCCACCGTCGGCGTGGACCCCACCCTGCGGCAGAGGTATGAACGGTGTGCAGGGGCGTATATCGATGCCTCGGCACGTTTGCGCCGCCGTCGCAAAGGAAAATGAGATGCACTGCTTTGTCTCGTAATTCAAACCAGTTGCGGAGGGGGAGAAAAAAAAATTGACGCTGCTTTGGAACCGATTGTGAATGGGCGTCGTACAGTGACGTCCTGAGGCGTGCAGCAGCCCCCGCGGCGCTAACGAACGAATGTTCTGTCCTGAACCTCACCCCGCCCGTTGTGTTGCAGCATCTGGGACCTGCTGCTGAACGAGACGCGGAACGCGCGCACCACCGTCATCATCACGACGCACTACATCGAGGAGGCGCGGCAGTCGGACGCCGTGGGGCTGATGCGCAACGGCACGCTGCTGGACGAGGACGCGCCCGAAGCGCTGCTGCGGCGCTACGGCTGCGCCTCCATGGAGGACGTGTTCCTCAAGCTCAGCGTGCGGCAGCAGCGGGAGCGACATGGCACGGTGAGGGAGGCCCATCGAAAAGAACGGCGACAAAAACGAAACGTAATTTTAATGTTGACGGCGATTGAAGGGGAAAGAAGTAATGAATCGTTTGTCTTTGTGCAGAGCGACAGCCACGCCATCGCCCTGGTGGAGACGACACCGCAGCACGCCACCCCGCGGCCACAAGACGAGCAGGCCGACGTGCAGTCGAGGCCCGTGGTGGTGGACGACCCGTCGCTGCTGCAGACCAGGCCCGTCGTCCTGGCGGGCCACTCCAACGTGGCGCCGTGCACCTGGAAAATGGCCGTCTTCACCTGGAGGAATAAGTCGTGAGTCACCAGAGTCGCCGAGAAAAGGTGGTGCGATAAGGTCTTGGGGTTTCCCAAAACGTTTACGTGTAAACATCTTATTGTCAGTGTGATCGGCATTCTCTTCGCTCTCCCCATCATCATCTGCGTGCTGTTCGGCTTCGCTGTGGGCGGCGACCCCAAGTCCCTGCACCTCGCCGTCGTCAACGACGACTTCACGTGCTGCGAGAGGAACCTGCCCGCCTTCCCGTCAGACTGCGAGGCCGAGGACCCGCGCGGCTTGAGCTGCCGATACCTCCAGCGCATCAACAAGGACATGTTTGACGTGGTGGGTATTCCAAAACGTCCTCCCGATTTTCCTCTCTCGTCGTCGTACATTTCCTCCTCTTCATTCCTCTCCGTCCCCCCCCCCTTTCTTTTCCGCCCATAGGACGACTACGACGACGTGGACGCGGCGCAGCGCGCGGTGCGGGAAGGTCGCGCCTGGGGTGTCATCCACTTCCCGTCCAACTACTCCCACTCGCTGGTGGCGCGCAGCCGCGAGGGCAGGGACGTCACGGCCACCACCCTGGACAGCAGCGACATCAGCGTCTGGCTTGACATGTCGAGTGAGTACGGCTGGCAGTATTTCCCGCGTACGTCATTACTTTTATGATCAAGAGAATCTCCTTTCTATTACGTGGCACGAAGGCATTTACTGTTTTCCCCATTTTGTATGTCTTTCCTCGTGACAATTTTTCCTCCCATGTCGTATGTCGTCCTCCAGACCGGCAGGTGAGCGAGTTGGCGCGGTCGGCGCTGGCCACCGCGGCGCTGCAGTACTTCGAGGACGTGCAGCGCGGCTGCAAGGGCAACCCCAACGCCAAGGCCCTGCCCATGCAGTTCAACGAGCCCATCTACGGCAAGCGGGACCTGTACTTCCCGGACTTCTTTGCGCCCGCCGTCATCCTCTCGTGAGTCGCGCACGTCCTCGTGCCGCAGAGACCTGAAACGAAACCAACTCGCTGACAGCTCGGTCGCGTGGAATATTATTTTTTTCTTTTGCTGTGTAGAAAGAGAGACTCTGACGTCACCGTTCTTTTCTTCACAGAGTGGTGTACAACATAAACTGCATCTACACCATGTCTGGGTTCATCGACGACAGAAAGGACGGCTTCATGGAGCGTAGCATATCATCGGGTAAAAAAAAAACTGCCCTACACCCTTGGCCCAGAATAATATTACAACAATTTACAAGCCAAGCATACCAATTTTTCGAGTCTTTCTTCTGCGTTAAGGTGTCCGAGTGACGGAGATTCTTGGAGCACACGTGCTGGTGGACGCCGTCATGATGTTGATTGTGACAGGAATCACACTCGTCTTTATGTGCGGGTTTTTGGGCTTTGAGAACAACGGCTCGTTGTGGATTCTAATATTTCTGTGCCTCATCCACGGCTTCTGCGGCATGTTTCAAGGTAGGTCCAACACCTCCCTGGATGGTACAACCGCGTTGACAACAACCAAAACTACAAATGTCTCTTTTCGCAGGTTACTTCATATCGTCTTTGTTCACCTCTGATTTCGAAGCAACGTTTTGCTGCATGGGTTTCTACTTCCCCACCCTGCTTCTGAGCGGTGAGTCGGCTTCAGATTAGCTAAACGACGGAAGCTCTCCTGCGCGCAGCTATACGGAATACAGCTCACGACTGCTGAACGTATCTCTGTAAATGTGTATGGGTGAACCACACGTGACGCCGTTTATTTGACTTTCCAGGTCTGATGTGGCCGCTGGAGGGCATGCACCCGCTGCTGCGCAACAGCGTGTGGCTGCTGCCGCTGAACCTCGCCACCACCGCCATCCGGTCCATCATGAACCGGGGCTGGGGGCTCGGCAGCCCCGACGTCCGCAACGGCTTCCTCTCCGCCACGTTCTGGCTCGCCTTCTTCGTCCTCGTCACGCTGACCACGCTGCGCCTCAAAAAGAGCTTCGCGACTTGAAAACATTCATCTGCCCATCGCACACTAGCTAGTGTACACTACTGCATGAACACCCCGCCTCGGTCCTTTTCGCCTGTGATAGTAAATATTTATGATTTAAGTAAACCCTGTTTGTTTCAATGATTATTCATGACATGAAGACCGCATCCAACAGCTGCAACAACATTGCAGTGTTATTGCGACCGTAATCGTTAAAAAATGGGGTGTGAAAACGCAAGCGGTTCAATTCTGTGTTTTTCTTACACATGATTTTAAATACAAACATAATTCTCTCAGAGATACACCTAAAAAATACTAGTGCATTGTTAAAGGATGGTTGTGGCCAATCAGTCTCGCTCTCTCCGGGCTCCCTCTCCTGCAGCGCCCGATCCGCCGCCGCCGCGCTCCGAGGCCGAGTACAGCAGGGTGCTGAAGGAGCGCGCCGTCAGCACCACGCTGGTCACGCCCACGCGGGGATCCCGCACCGACACGGAGGCGTCGCTGTCGCCGCTGCGCCCGGCAAGAAAATACAAACAGATATTAGAAGCGGGCAGAGAGTAGAGCTCCCGGAGGGATCGCTAGCGGCCGGGCGCCTGCTAACCGCAAGGTAGACCGCGCGCCGCACATCCGCGTGGAAAGCGCTGCCTACTCGGCCGGCTGCCAGGCGTCTGGTGGGGTGGGGTGCAGCAGAGCCCTTCTGCCGCGAGCGAGCATCGGGGGGAGAACACCACGAGAACACTCACGCGTTGTGCAGGACGAGGACGACGGTGTCGTCCGGGGTGACGAAGGCCGTGGCGTCCACGTCGGCGCGGCCGGACAGCCCCTGCTCGTCGGGCTGCGCCTCGCCCGAGAGGTCGGCCCGCTCCACCTGCAGGCGGACGCGCCGCGAGCCGCGCGGCACGAAGCGCGAGAAGTGCGCCATGGCGTAGTAGGTGGGCTGCAGCAGCACCTCCTGGCGCGCGGGGTCCACCATCACGCCCACGTCCACGTAGTTGCGCGACCACGAGGGCCCGCCCTGTGTGTCCAGCACCAGCGACCACTCCATCCACCCCGTCACCCACGCGTTCATGTCCTTGAGGATGTCCGTCATGTACTTCTCGCCCCGCGCCCACGAGCCCAGCTGCACCTTGGCGACGTCCCAGGGCTTGTCGGCTGCGCGCAGAGAGTACAGTTCAGGAGGGGTTCTCCTAATGTTTGCGCTGGGGACGGACCCAAGTTGGTGCGGGACTTACCGCTGCTGGCCTCGGTGCTGATGAGGAACTTCTCCGGGAAGTGCTGGTGCGTGGCCTCGAGACCGAGGCGCGGGTCCACAATGTCCCAGTACCAGTGCACCGCCACGCCGTCCACCAGGTCGCGCACCACGGGGTCGCGGAACACGATGTCGAGCCACCAGGGCAGCAGCATGCGCTGGTCGTCCAGCGCGAGCAGCTTGGTGGCGTTGAAGGGGGAGCGGCGGAGCGCGGGGCCGAGGTGGCGGCCGATCCAGCGCCGCTGCTGCAGCGGCGTCCAGCCCATCGAGTTGAACCGGATGAGCAGCGGCGTGAAGAAGGCGTTGATGGGCTCGTTGCCGGAGGTGAGCGCCCATACGGCCACGCCGCGCTGCGCGTACTCCGACAGGAAGCGCAGGTGGTAGTCTGCCCACGCCTGCGCCGTCCACAGGACACGGGTTCAGATAACAGCCAGGGGTACTTCACTTACTTCAAGCGCACACCAATTTTTCTGTGTTTTCTTGATTTTTATTGATTTTTTTTCTGGCTTTTATTGATTTTCACTTGAATTTGCCTTGACTTTTTCTTCTTTTACTGAATTTTTTCTAATTGTTTTGGAGGGTGTTCACTGATTTTTAGGCTGGGTGGTTGAAGTACCCTTCCGATAAGAGCGGCTGGGCAGCGCGTCACTGCGGGCAAAAGAGAGTGCATCAAGCTCACCTGGTACATCTCCCTGCGCAGCGAACCGCCCACGTACTGGTCGGTGGTCTTCATCCAGGGCGGCGCCGTCCACGCCGAGGCGATGACCCTCGTCTCCCCGCCCGACAGGCGGCTGGCGTTGAGCAGCACGGGGATCTGGAACGTCACCGTCGGCGTCACTCACGGCTGTGCGCTCGTAAGGGGAGCGCGAACCCCTCGTCGCCGGTGGGGGACTCACCTTGTACTGGATGTCCTCGTCGGCGAGCTTGAAGCGCTCGAGCTCCACGTCCCCGGGCGAGTCGGCGTACGTGTACTTCCGGATGGAGTCGTCCGTGCCCCCCATGGGCACGCGCAGCATGTTGTAGGCGTTGCCCTCGGGCGCGAACAGCGCTCTGCGGGCCGAACAGGGGGTCAGGCAAGTCCCTCATCTTCGCGACACCCGGGGGGATCGTCCTCCCCACGAACTCACCTCATGAGCACGTCCTGGACGTCCGGCTCCAACCGGTGGATGTTGATGGCGGCCGAGTCGGTGATGGCGCCCCCGAAGCCGTCCACCGTCTGGTAGGTCGTGGCCGTGTCTACGGTGAGGCGCACGTTGCCCCGCGTCCACATGAACGTCTTTTCCTCTCCATCCTCCAGGTCGTCGTACTCATCCTCTTCGTCCTCGCCCTCCGCGTCACCCACTGACCCACCCCCCACGTTGGTTAGTTTCTGTCGACACTAATGATCCCGCGGCCGTATCTTTTTCGCGAGATAAGGTCGTGGGAGGCGGACACAAGGCGGATGCGCCGCTATCCGCGAGTGAAAACAAAAGCAGATAGTCGTCGTCCCGCTGTCCTGCTTACCCTTCGAGCCGGTCGTGGCGTAGCCGTTGGTGAAGTTGCCGTCGGCCTGGTGCAGCCGCAGCCCGGCCTTGGAGCTGGTGAACATGGTGAAGGGCGTGCTGGAGCCGTCCTCCGCCGCGGGGCCAGCGCGGGTGCGGAGCACCTCCAGGGCGCCGCACTGCTTGGCGTCGCACACGCACACGACGCTGCCGTGGCCGTAGGACCGCGTCACGCACCGGCCGCCGAGCGCTGCGGGACGAGAACAAGTCCGTCGAGTTCCAGAAAACATACCCTTTACCTGGTCGTCGCTATCTCTCACCTGTCCCGACGAGAGCAAGGGCGAGGGCCGCCGTGGCGAGGCCCATGGTGCGGCGCGGCGGTTGAGCTCGTTACTCGCACTGCGCGCCGCCGGACCACTATATACCCTCCTGGCCCGCCAACGATAACCGACGGCGAGGTGTCGTTAAGGCCGCAGTTCCTCATCGATAACATGGACGACCCTTTTTTTTATGCTGGGCGGGCTGCTGCACTCGGTTCTTTTCGGCAATAAAGATGAGAATGCTATCGTGACCGGGTCAGCGCGTGCATCCTGGCCTGGACTTCCCCCCCTGCCTGTGCCCTCCATGCCCAACCCTTCTGGGCGTAGTCTCGACGACGGGGCCTGGGTGGGTCTCACCTCAGCCGCTAACGCACGATGGAAAGCTGTGTAACTGAGGCAAAAGTCACTTCAGGTAATAAAGGGCTCTCGAAATCTGGCTCTGTCGGGCAAGGATTCGAAGCAAAGTGTGTGTGTCTCTTTCACATGTTCACCACTAGGTGGCAGCACTCACTACAACGCACTCGCACCGCGCACCGCCTATTTGACTCCTCTTACCTAGCCTAGAAAGCGAAAGCGGGGAGGGACCGAGAGACGGGAGGGGGAGCTCTAGAAGGCTTTGTTAGGCGTTTCGTCTGCTTTGTTTATGTTATTTTGTAAATATGGACCGATGTGGTGCTAGTTTTATGGAATTGTCTAAATTAAATTCAAAAAATAACGTAAGTTCCTCTTTGACAATGAAATTGTTGCTATACTTTATTACATTCGAAGTTTTATTTGGAATTGGATGTGCAGGTTATGTTTGTTTAGGTTTTCATTCTTCTTGGATGACATGCTCTTGAAAACTAATCTGTTATTGTTTTAAACGAAATTGGAACTGTTGGTTAATTAGTTTTTACAATATTATACTGGTTGATGTGTATTTTTGTCTTCTCTCAGTAATTTGTAGACTGGCCACAGACGATTCATTGTCCAATAACATTTTATTGCTAACTATTTTGGTTTCTTGTCTCTAGGTCCTTGAGTGCCGTGTCTGTGAAGATGTATTCTCACTTCAAGGAGATAAGGTCCCACGCCTACTTCATTGTGGACATTCTGTTTGCCATGCTTGTTTGATGCGCTTACCACAGAAAGACAGTACAATTCAATGCCCATTTGATCGTCAACCCACTCCAGTTGGTATGTTTTAAAGTTATCTGAAATTTTCTTATATTTGTAAATATCTTGATTTCTGACATGTTAATGGAAACATCTTGATTACAGGCAATTCTGGAGTCTGGGGTCTAAAAAAGAACTTTTCTTTGCTTGAGCTCCTTGAGCGACTACAACATGCATCAGATAAAGCAGCCATTTCATTTTTCCTATCAGCAGAGGCATTGGAGTTGGAAAGAAAGGTATAACAAACATAAAATCTTCATTTTCAATTCACCTAAAACATGTTTAAATCATTGTTTAATTTCCAGTTAGCTGTTAACTGTGACGAAGATGAACAACATGTTGCAGTCTTGTATTGTACTGTGTGTGGCTCACACCTCTGCGAAGCATGCTCTGAACTAACCCACTCCACTCGCACTCTTGCCAAGCATCGCAGAGTTCCACTATCTGAAAAACCAAGGTTGCTATAACTTTCAAATTTTATAATTTTTAACTTT